TATTTTTCATAGCAAAATAATTCAATCTAGGATCATGATATTGCATTTATTTGCAGTGTCTCTTTAGTCTCCTCTAATCTGGAATAGGTTCACAGTCTCATTTTCATGGCTTTAATACTTTTAAAATTATAAACTGGTATTTTATATAATTTCCCTCAAATTGGGCCTGCACAATGTGTCTACATGATTAGATACAGATTATAGATCTTTGACAAAAATTTCACAAAAGTGGTGCTGTGTTCTCAGTGCATTCTATCTAGGAGCACATAATCTTATTTCTTTACTAGTGATGTTAATTAATTACAATTAAAATGGTTTCTCTTCTATAAAATTACCTATTTTCCCTTTGTAATTGCTAACTATTTTCTGGTGAGGTTCTCAGACTTTGTGAATGTCCCAGTATCTTTCCATTTTCACCAACAAGTTTTATCACCTACTAGTTTTATCATCTGTTAACACTAATAAGTTAGTGATAATCTTAGCATTTTTGCCTGAATTGATGAATTATTTCTTAGCATTTTTGTCAGATGGTGATTTTCCAACTTCAATACTCCTTCAATGTTTATTAGAAGGAATCTAATTTATTATCTGGCAATCTACTATAAGGAAAAGTTTTTTCCTCTCCTTATCTACTTATTTGATTACATAAGTACAAACTCATCATTCCTATTTTGTTCAATGAGTCATATTGATCATTATGACATTTAGTTTGATGTTCAATTTGGCCAGTGAGAGTTCCTTTAAGCTTGATTCAATACCCTTTCACCTTTGCCATCATTCTTTGAACACTTACTTATTTCAGCCCTGGACTAAATATTCCAGGCTCATTTTGTATTTTCCCTGCAAGGAGCCCTACCTACTTCTTCTTAATGGGAAAGGATATTTAGAAACCAAAATACAGGTGTTAGGTGTGCCCATTGCTATTGTGGTGTTACTGCTCTATGTCCACTCCATGTTCAAAACTAGAGAATATGTGTACATACAGAAACATTATATTCTTGGCCAGGTGCGGTGGCTCACGTCTGTAATCCCAGCACTTTGGGAGGCTGAGGTGGGCGGATCATGCAGTCAGGAGATCGACACCATCCTGACTAACACGGTGAAACCCCATGTCTACCAAAAATACAAAAAAATTAGCCAGGCATGGTGGCAAGTGCCTGTAGTCCCAGCTCCTTTTGAGGCTGAGGCAGGAGAATGGCATGAACCCAGGAAGTGGAGCTTGCAGTGAGCCGAGATTATGCCACTGCACTCCAGCCTGGGCGACAGAGCTAGATTCCATCTCAAAAAAAAAAAAATATATATATATATATATATATTCATATTCTCTGATAATCTCAGTCTTCTACTAACAGTTCCTTTCTTCCTAAGGATCAAGTTCTATTTTGTGAAAGGAATTTTAGTGACATATTCCCATATATCTGAGATATCCAAGGCTTAGGGAACCCTGGTGGACCCTTATTTTGTCTATGGCATGTTCCCTTTGCTATCCTAGTGTTACGTGTTTTTGCAAAAGGATTTATAGACCTTCATAAACTATACTGCTGCCTCCAATATGTCCTAACTGAAAGTTCAGAGTACTATATTGATAGTTCTAAGCAAAGCCTTTCAAAATTAACCCAAGAATTCTAAGGCAGTCAATTTCAGCCTTCATGACTCACAGCCTCTTTTCAGTTGCTGTTCACAGCAACTGGGAGCTGTTTCCCCTGACCGAGGGCCGGGGGCAGGTTACCCTGCCCCAACAAATCTGCATTAAAACCACAATATATAAGCAAATAGTACACTAAAAGCCCAGACTAATATATTTCATGTGACATAACTGCACTTGTATCCATAAATCCACACACACACACACACAAATGTTTGAGATGGTGTCTCACTGTCACCCAGGCTGGAGTGCAGTAGTACAATCACAACTCACTGCAGACTCAATCTCCTGGGCTCAAGCTATCCCTCCACCTCAGCCTCTCAAGCAGCTGGGACTACAGTGCATGCCATCACGCCCAGTTAATTTTTGTATTTTTTGTAGAGACGGGGCTTCATCATATTATTCAGGCTGGTCTTTAACTCCTGAACTCAAGCAATTCACCTGCCTTGGCCTCCCAAAATGCTGGGATTATAGGCATGAGACACCAGGCCTGGCCAAGAGAAAAAAAATTAAGAAAAATAAAAATAAATTTTTCACTTAATTACGGATCATTTAAATTATACACAGAGAAGGACAGAGCAAGATGGCAGAAAAGAAGCCTACACCATTTGTCCCTCTAGTAGGATCACCAAATTTTAACAACTACATACACACAGAAAAACACCATCACAAGAACCAAAAATCAGGTTGTTCGAACAATTACGGTACCTGGTTTTCACTTTGTATCACTGAAAGAGGCATTAAATAGCGAAGAAGAGATAGTCTTGAATTGCTGAAACCACCATTCTCCCATCCTCTGGCAGTGGCCACTTGGCACAGAGAGGCTGTGCACTTGGGGGAGTGAGATCACAGCAACTGGGGGACTTGGCATTGAACTCAGTGCTGTCCTGTCACAGAGGAGAGTAAAGCCATGCTGGGCTTAGCCAGTACTTGTGTACAGAGGGAACAATTTGGACCAGCCATAGCCAGAGGGGAATCACCCATCCCAGCAGCTAGAACTTAAGTTTCTCAGCAGGCCTTGCCACACTGCAAGCCAAAGTGCTTCGGGGTCCTAGGTAAAACTGAAAGGCAGTCTAGGACACAAGGACTGCAATTTCTAGGGAACTCCGGTGCTGAGTTGGGCTCAGAGCCAGTAAATGCCATGAATCATTGCTTTTTTAGAACCTACTGCCAGCATCTTCATTCTGTCCATTTAAACTAATTAATCAACCCTGCATGAAAGAATCTACTTTCTATTTCTCAAGATGTTAAAGTATAGTATTCATTCTAATATTATAAAATTTGGGAGAAATCCCATCATATACATATTTAAAATATGTTTAAATTTATTTGTAGATTTAAATATTTAATTCTACTTATGTAAATATAACATTACACAAACTAATAAGCAGTCATAATCCTGGATATCAATAGGGATGAGACTAACCTTGGGATAATATTACATATGTGTGTATATAATTATAAGCTAAAAAATACATATCATAGTACCTGTAGATTCTAATACATAGGATGGCTAAAATCGTTTTTAAAATATAAAACTAAAGTCAACCAATAACAATTCAGCGATTATTGTTGTTTCATAACTTATTTTTGTTAAGAAAACTACAGTGATGATCTGAAAGTCTTATCTCTCCTTAACATTTTTTGTTACAGGGCTGTGCCAATAGATTAAAAACAATCAGCTTTTATCAATGGATATGTAGAATACAAGGTGATATTTGAATATTTTTGAGGACTGGGCATCCCTCACATGCTGTCTTAATTCATTTTCTATCACTACAACAGAACTGGGTAATTTACAGTGAACAGAAATTTATTCAGCTCATGGTTCTGGAGTCTGAAAATTCCAAGAACACGATGCTGGCCTCTGATGAGGGCCTTCTCACTGCATCATAACATGGCGGAAGATCAAGCAAGAACACAAGACAGAGAGAAGAAATCAGGCCAAACTCATCCTTTTTAGCAGGAGCCCACTCCTGCAATAACTAACCCACCCTCATGATAATAGCATCCATCCATTCACGAGCTCAGCACCTCTTAAGTGCCCCATATCCCAATATCGTTACATTAGCAATGGAATTTCAACATGAATTTTGGAGGGGGATATTCAAACAACAGCACATGCTAAGAGACAGAGTAACTGGAAAACACTCAGCCAAGTGTGATCAAGGAAAGATGATTAGAAACTTTGTAGCTTAAGCCGTGTTGTCAGGAGTAGCTGTGCAGTAGTTTCCCAAAAATGGTGACAAGCACTGTGACTCTCACGTCTAGTACATTGACTAATTTCTTTCACATAAGTCAGAGTTTCTAATGCTTTCTAATTTCACAGTGACTTTCCCAAGCCCCCTCTTAATATAAGCCCTACCTCCAACCGCCCCCCGCATCAAATACTTTCCTACTCTCCTCTCAAATCATTCTCCCAAAATTTCTGGTAACTTTCTCCCTATTTTTATCCAATCTGCTTTCTCCTGATCTTCCCCCAGAAGCTCTACCATAAAAACTACTTTGCTTCCTTTGCAAAATACTTTAGAATTCTAACTTCAGGCCAGGTGTAGCATCAGAACTTAAGGGCAAGTGGAGACTGCCAGGTGGTACCAGGTAGCAAAGACCGAGGAATCCAACCAGAAGGCAGAGTTGAAGTTTTTCTGACCTAGATATTTACCCTTGCCTGTTAATGGAAACAGGGACACTGGAAAGACGGAGCTTCCATAGGTAGATATGCTGGAATAGAGAAGAGAGTGGTTTGGGGGAAAATGTAAGATGATGGTATTACCATTGGGTAAAAAAAAGGGCCAAGGCTACAAGGAGATATAGTCTAACAACCTTAATCATTCATAATTTTATGAATCATACACTATTTCATCCTGAGGCTCTGCTCCAAGAACCCTCGTAATATCTAAATTATCTCTGCCAGTATTACACCTGTTTTCATTAATGCAGCAAGTCGTTTCTCTCAGAAGGTCGTGGAATACTTGGAACATTCCCTCATCACAGGGCCTGCAAGACAGTGTTGTATAACGGAACAGATACCTCCCTAAAGGGAAGAAAGGTAAATGTGGTCAGTTTGCCACATTTCATCACCTTCCTAGCAATGACCTCTCCAGTACCTCCTCAGTTTTCTGTAGACTGGACTAAGCCCCCAGACTGTGTCTGCATTTTGTCTGTGTCTCTCTAGCCATGACCAGGCAGAAGACATCTGCCTCCCACACAGGCCCCCGTACCCAGGTCTGTGTATGGTGAATCCCACTTCCCACCCTCTCCCATGATTCCAGATTCCCTCCACAACTTGGCTCCAAGCATTGTGGGCACCACTGGTGATATTTTGTGTCTCTCTGTAACACCACCCCCCACCTACCTGTAGTGAGATCACTAAAGTAATAGTGATCTGTGGCACAACTCCTGTTTTTCGAATATAAATTAAACTTCCAGCAACTTTTCATGCCACCGTGGCAAATGGATCCATCAAAGCGTTCACAGGAATTGCAAAATCGAACCCCTGAAAAAGAGAGGCACTTTAAAGAACAGCACTAGGGAAAGTGATTCAGCTTCAGAAGTCTCTTCCCACCCGGAAACATTTATATCGAAGTGGTGCAAACCTCATGAGAAGAAAGTTGACACTAGTCCTGGCCTCTGTCAGGGGACCTTACTCCCTTGATTGGGTAACAGCTATGACCCCCAAAGAAGTCAGGGACCCTCCCAAGTCTAGGCAGGAAAGAAGACACTGGAGTATTGAGTGGGGAGAGGACAATGTGTAGAGAACTCAAGAATGTCTCCCTCACTGTGGCATTATTTATCCAAAAACGACAAACCAGCTACACCGTACATTTCCATGTCAGGACTCTGTCTCCTGTGAAGAGAAGAAAAACTTTCTTAAATGACTTCACAGCAGCCCCAAAACCCAAGTGAAGAAACCCCTTTCTCCCACTCCATACATTCTCTCACCACCCATTCGTGTGTCCCTCTCCAGAGCTTACCCTCATCCATGAAGAGCACTACGAACAGGCCCAGTAGAAGCAACCGGAACATCCTGGGGCCTTTTCCTGAGAACATCCCAGTGAGACGTTCCAGCTTTATTTATTCTCATCACCTGCCCTCAGGCATCCCACTAGAATCACAGAATCATGAATTTCAGCTCAAACCACCTGAATGCTCTCTACAACGTTCCCAGAACAGGGTACATCCTGTCTTTGTTTGCATTCCTCCGGCTACTTGGAATTCAGCCCACCTAGGCACCCCGTTTCATTTTATCATAAGATATTAATTCATATTGGCATAGAATCTCTTTGGTTATGTTTTCCTATGTTGGTCTACACAGAACATTTCTAACTCCACATCCACATGACCTCCTTTCACATATAATACAGCTGGGATCACTAAGCACCTATGAAAGAGTCCGTCCTTTTCAGGCACCACACCACCCTGGGTTATCGCCTCAGCATGACCTCCAGTGGGACTTTGCCCCTCACAGTGAGGCATCAGGAACAGAGCCCAATACTCCAGATATGGTCTGACTGCTCAGTGTAGAAGACATCGCTGATGGATAGGATGAACAGGACAGGCCAGGAAAAAGTGGGGAAGACATGAAGACCATCTCAGCTTCTCCTGAGCTTTATTCATCCATTTTTGTCAAGGAAGGCAGACATGATAAATGATTCCAGTGGGAGAGATTTACACTGCTGTTATGGGGAGGAAAAGGGAGATCTATTTGGACTGATCTTTGGAAAGGGTATGTAGAGGGAAAGTTAGAGAGGAAAGTTAGGGAGATTAGTTTTCCTATTGGTTCTCGGACTTTTCCTTACTTCCTCCAGAAGATGTCATACTTTCCTGCCACCCCTCTTTCTGCTCTCAGCTGCCACTTTCTCCATGAGGCATTTCCTGGCCACCATATACATAAAAGACCAAATCTCCCTAACTACACTTCCTTGTCCCTTCCTTCCTCGGTTTTTCTCCAGGGTACTTAACTCAATTTGTGCTCCTGTAACTTTTCCTTATGTGTGCATTTTCTTTCTCTTCCCTCACAAGATGAAAACTCTATGAACACCCAGGTTTCAAGGGTTGCATTCATTGCTTTAACCATAGTACCTGTAATTATGCCCTGCACACATCAGATCATCAGACATATTTGAAGAAAAGGTTAATAGCATTACTGGATACTGGTAACCTGAGAGGCACAAGGGAAGGGTACAAAAGTCTTTAAATTGACAGTCCCTAATTCCACTTGACATGATGAAATTCTTAGCCTTAACCTTGCAGTTGGCAGTCACTACAGAGAAGACAGGCAATGGTAATGGCAGATTTCCTTGTGGTGAACACTGAGTGAGGGTTGGGCCCATTTATCTGAGTGGACTCATTCCCATAGCTCGACATGTGCTGCATGCTACATGTCAAGTACGATCCCTCACATAATCCTGACTATGAAGGCACTCCCCACACACCTGGGATGGAAGTCCAAGTATGCTGCCCACTTGCTGTGTGACCCTCAACATGTTACTTAGCCTCTCTGTGCCTCTGTGACCCAATAGGTAAAAATAAAACCATCACAAGTACATCTGAGGTAGTTGTTAATAAATTTACACAAGGGAATGGGGAGAAAATAAACATTTGTTAAGGCTCTACTTGGGATTAGACATTCTTCTGGGCATGTTACTTACCTGACATCTTTGAATTTTCTGAACAATCTTGTGGTTTAGAAGTAGTTGACCTCATCTTACAGATGATGACCAAGGATTCCTGAAGTTGAAGTGTTTTTCCTAAGGTAACAAGGTGTGCATCTGTCTGATTAAACAGGACATTATCAATCCATTTCACCACAAGGTTTACAGTCTGGAGAGGGGTTCCCTGAGCTGGAGCTCCAGGTGGGTCTACCTTAGAATCATCAGGACAAGCGGGGGGGGGGGGTGGAGAGAAGTAGAATGAGTAAGAAACGGGTCTCAATCAAAGAAAAATGGGTCTTTCTCCGTCTGGCAGAGACAATACTCGTCAGCAAAATCCCACTGAGACTAAGGGGTTCCAAAGCATGACTAAGATCTAGGATTTATGTGCCGTTGTCAGAGAAGCAATTCCCATGGGGACCACCTTTATGGATCGTGCATTTGGAACATGTGAGACACAGGCAGCAACCCATGACCATAAGCCCCAGAGGGTCTGAGCTGGGAACATCAAGCATAGGCCTCTAGGCCTTTTTCCTGGCCTAGGAAGATACTCCTGCGTAATGACTTGGGCACCCAATTATTACACAGGTGGGTGTGAATCACAGACTCCACCCAACCCAAGTCTCTCTCTTATAGTTCATCCAAGGCATTTTGAACAATGTTTTCCCAGAATAAAAGTAACAGAAATTTTGAAGATACTTTAAACTTACTGATAAGTGAAAATCCCCATTGTGCTCCTAATTCTGAGAAAAGCAGTGTGACTACTTCACCACAGCTGCTTCCAATATAACTTCTGTACATGTATCACACAACCCCACGTCAATAAGCACTATCATGGTTAACATCACACATGTGATACTCTGATTTTTGCACTTAATATTTTATTGTGGAATTTGTCCCCTTAAATCACTCTGCCTCCTATAATGTGAGGCCCAGAATTGGGCAGGAGATTCAGGAGCCCATCACCTGATAAACTCCTGTGAAAAGGCTGATGCCCCAGTTCTGACTTCCAGCCTCAGCCACAGCTTCAACTGGCTGCTCAGCCTATCGACACCTCTCACTCTACCAGCCTAATGTGGACTGCAGAAAAGCCTTGGACCCTTGGGGCCACCTCTCCCTCCCAGAGAAAGGAGGCTGTGTTGTCCAACTTGCCCTTTCTTCCCCACCTTTCATATCTGAGCCTCCAGAACTTTCCCAGCCCTGCCCCAAGTCCTCTCCTGGGGCCCAGAGCCTGTACCTTCTCCCCTCCATGCCTGGCTCCTGCCCAAGACTTTGACATTCCTCTCTGCTCCTTCCTATACCAGGAGTTATAGTCCATGCTGCCCTGCCCTGCCCTGTCCTGTCCTGTCCTGTCCTGTCCTACTCCTGTCCTGCCCAGAGGCACAACTTGCACCCATCCTTTATCCCTACAGAGAGAGGAGAAGGTGGTAGATTTGAGACCAAATTAGGCTCCTTGTAGTCACCCCAGAGTTGTGTTCACTTTGCCCCTTTAGGAAAACGAAGGAAAAACAAAATAAAAACAAAAGTCCCCAAAAGAAAGCTTCCTGCACTCAGCAAGATACCACTTCTGCCAACTCCAAAGGAGAAGTGCCCCGGTCCTGCTCGGCAGGGAGGAGACCCAGAAAGCAGAATCACCATGGCTCCAGTGAGTCAGCGAGACGGCGGAGACCGGCCTAATGGCCGGGCGCTATTACAGCCTCCTCACAGGCAGAGAAAGGGAGCATGTGGCCAGGGTATAGTCACATTTCTTCTCCGTGACAGTTTCTTCTCCATGCCATCTGGTCTGTATCAGACTAGACATCTGTATCTCAGACTTGACAGGATTTAGGGGCCTAGACACCTAGGTCTCCTGACACTTAGGCCTGCCTCAGACCCAAGCTCCCTCTAGCAGCCAAGAGAAACCCCAGGGCATTACCCTGCCTGTCTTGATACCCCCCAGTAACCCTTGACCCCCCCCATCTCTTTCATGGCCAATCCACATCAGCCTGCTGACCAAGCCCCATTTACCCTCCTCTTAACCGCCCTCCAAGCTTTCTTCAGACTGCCTTGAAGGTACCATGGAAGGTGCCATTTTACCATATGCATAAAAGAGAGGAGTTGGGCATGGAAGCAATATAGCCCAATGCCTTTATTTTACACACAAGAAACAAGGCTCAATTAAAATGTCACCCCAATAAAAGGCAGAGGAAAACCATGACCCAGGGCTTCTTCGTCATCAGGCCACTGACCATGTTGGCAGGTGAGGAGGCATGGAGTATGAATTGGGCGTCAGATACGAATTCTGAGTCACTTCCTTCCATTAGTTCAGCTCCTGCCACATGCCTGGCATAGGGTATAACTTACTGAACTTGGTGAAAGGAACCCCATAGCCCTGCTCCTATGGCGTTGCCTCATTTGAGTCACCAGGATGCCAATCCCTGGAGGGTGAGAGGGTTTTCTCCTGAGTCCCTCCGTCCAGCCTTATTCCAGCCCTCTCACCAGCCTCCTGCCTTCCACGTGTGATGGTAGCACACCACCTTTGGGAGTGATGAGCATAGGGATGGGGCATTCCTGCAAGTCACTGCCAAATAGCAGTTCTGGAGCTGTTTCCATGGCTGCAGCTTCAGCAGATCTCCTCACTTGCCCTTCCCACTGCAGGCTGCTGGGACACTGACAAGTCAGGCTGGAGAGGAGGGACTGGATGCTGCAGCTCCCTGGCGGTGACCTCTGCCTGTCCCCCCCTGCCTGAGAAAACCTTTGTGTAAAGCACATGAGAGTGATAACGTTGATCTTAGGTTCAGACAAATGTGTTATAAAGTTATTCTGGGAAAAGGAGGGCCCACTGCCATGCAACATAACTTTGTGGGATTCATTATTTCTATTTCACCAAGTAAAAGTGAACCAAACACTCTGCCATCTATTCTCCCAAAGGCCAAAACGTAAGGACATAACCAAGGTAAAATCATGAAACACTTAGTATTTTGGATTCCCAGGAGTCACACAGACTCACTAACCAGAGAGTAGGTCTTCAGTCAGCACTGGCCACTCTCAGCAGTCACTTGTCCAGGGAGAGGAGTGACCCAGGGCCTATAGCTGATGTTTTTGCATGGGAAGGGAAAGACTTGGCAATGGGCTTGTCTGCAGGAGCGACTTCTGAAAGGTCAACTACCATCACGGATGAGATTTTGCTTGCATGTTGGAGTGGGCAAGAGATCAAGAACAGTTTCTTCTAGATGGCCTTTGAAGTCAGGAGCTTTCAAGTTCAGAACAGATTGGTTTCTCTCAGATGGGTGAGCAGCTTAGAAGTTAGCTGAACTCTGATTCACTAAGATAGAGTAAGAGCTCGACCTCTACAACCCAGGGTAATCTAAAGACAGAGATACATTCAGAGGATTGTGTAGATCCCAAGAAGGAGCTCCACTAAAGGTTCTGGGGATGCTCACCTTGTATCTTTCCCCATCTGCAGGACTTCCTTCTCTTGGGGATTTTCTGGGAGCCTCTAAGTGCCTTGCCAGATTCCAAACTCCTAGGCATAAGTGGTTTTCTTCTAGGAGAATGCCTATAGCAGCCATTCCAGGAGTATTAGAGGAGAACCTGTTCCCAGATCAAACCCACAGTCAGGCACAATTACCAAGATTTTGAATGCTAAGTCAATTCTACCAATCCCACTCTGCTTTTCCAAAGGCCTTATCTTGAGTACTCTCATCTCTTTCTATCTTAGGATGACAAAACTCCTCAACGCTTCCCATAGCAAGTGATTGAAAGAGGACATCAAGGTCAGAGAATGGCCCTGATCACAAAGGGGCACAATCCTTAAATGCTATAATAATGACATCCGTAACAACTCCCGCTGTGCTGCTTACCCTCCTGGGCCTCACCCAGTGATACTATTACAACCTCTGCTTTTTCTCCCTGCCTCTACCTTTCTGACCTTTCTTTCTTGACAGGGCCTTTCTCTCTAATAATATAGCTTTTCCCACTGAAACCAGGGTGCAGCAAAGGTGGGATTAAAGACAGTGTTTGTCCCCTTGCTTAACTATGGCCAGAGGGGAAGAATTCTAACCCACAAATTGTTCCTATTATCATAAATAACAAGTTCTACTCTAGGTCAAGAAAGCCATCTAAGTGTCAAAACCATTTACTGTTTGGACAGCTGAATTTCACACATTTAAAGCAGCTGTCTTGGGAAATTTGGTTGCATAAGAAAGAGGGGATGGTCTGATAACCATTATGTTGAGTCACAAATGTTTGTGCACCTGGAAGAGCAGCTCCCCATGCCTACCTTTCTGATCTGTGATGTGCGAATAAGAACTATCTTGTTCCTTCCCTTCTCTCAAGTAGAATAGTTAAGAATATCCAGATACCATAAAGTCTTAAACATCCACACAACCCTTTATGGTGGTGTCACTAGTAAGAAAGGAGTAGGGCAAAAGAAGTGGGGTCCTCTGCACTTTTTTCCACTGAGTCCCACACCATGACAGCAACATCTCATCAGGAGAACATCATGCTTCAGACCATCTGGTTTCCAATCCCAGCTCTGCCTCTTACTGATTATGTGATCGTGCCTAAGTTGGTTAACTTCTCCATGCCCGTACTAATTATGTATAAAATTATACTAATGATATACTTATATGAAGTATAATTATTATTTTTAAAATAATTATACTAAGCTCACGGGAATTTTGTGATGATAAAATGGGATGACGGAGGAACAGTGTCCACAACAGGAAAGTGTTCACTGGAGGTTTCTGGTTATGATTAGCATATGGAGAGTCAGTAGCCAAAGAATACCAGGAAGTGTCTAGGATCAAATTGAATAGAGGTTGTATTAGTTTGCTAGGGCTGCCATAACAAAATACCACAGACTAGGTGGCTTAAAAAACAAAAATTTATTTTCTCACAGCTCTGGAGGCTGGAAATCCAAGCTCAGGGTGCCAGCAGGGCTGTTTTCTCCTTTGCTTGCAGGTTGCTGCCCTCTCCCTGTGTCCTTACAGGGTCTCTCCTCTGTGAAAGCACATTCCTGGTATCTTTCACTCTTCTTATAAGGACACCAATCTTATTGGACTAGGTCCCATCCATATGCCCTCATTTAGCCTTAATCACCTCTTTAAGGCCCTATCTCCAAATATAGTCACATTCTAATGTATTGTGGGTTACAGGTTCAGCATGTGAATTTGGTGGCAACACAATTCAATAACAGGGATCCTGGTTGGAGCTAAGTTTAGCATGGAACATCAACTACAGTGCTTAACTGGCATAAACATGGACCTAATAATACAGATTACCTTTGCTCTCAAATATACTCACAGGAAGCACAGAGAAAGCCTGGACAGCAGTAGTTTGCATTGCTTGTAAATGAAGTCACTGAAGTGTTGGAGGCAGTCAGCCCTGAGGCAGAGGGGCAGCCAGGCATGAGAGAGAGCCTCTGGAGCCTGGATTGAGCGCTGCCTACGGTTTCAAAGCAGCCTTACACAGAGTAGCAGAAATTCACATGTTCATCGAGTACACATGGACATACAGAAAAGGAAAAATAGACACGAGGACCTACTTGAGCGGGCAGGAGAGTGAAGATCAAAAAACTGCCTATCTGGTACTATGCTCATTACCTGGGCGACAAAATAATCTGTACACCAAACCCCGGCAACACGCAATTTACCTGTGTAACAAACCTGCATGCATACTCCCTGAACCTAAAAAAAAAAGTTAGAAAGAAAAAAAATAAATTAACATATTCAGTTTCTAACTGTTAGAGAGAAAAAGTTCTCTGCCTGGGTATTGAGGCTGGAAAAATGGTTATGGAGGCAGAGAAAAGGGAGCCACACAATACAGTTTGGGAATTCAGCACATGTTGGTAAAAGTGATGGCTGATGGTTTTCATAGCAAAACATCATTACAGAAACTTAGATTTCTAACGAAGAGCTCTAAAAAATCTCACTGATAATTTAAGAGAAGAAAGAAAGAAGAAACATTACATTGGCATGAAGCTGAGATGTGCTCCAATCTTGTAGTATGACATTCTATCCCATAAAATCCACCCCTTACTGCTCAAATTAAGATTTCAAGCATTCTTCTCATTTAACTATATATAGGAGTGCAAAAGACTTAATGTTAGTAGCTGACTGCTTAACAATAATAGAAGAAAATTTTAATAATACGGAGAATATCATGGACTTCGAAAGTGCATTTTTGAATGGTTTTAAAATAAAAAAGAAAAGCCTCCATATATGAAAAATATTCATATAAAATATTTAAACATTCATATAAAACAGTGGGGGTAGAAGGCAATAAAGAAAAAAAGCCATACAACAGAAACTAGCAACAAAGTTGTAACTGTTGTTTCTGGGTCTTCTAAGCCTTCTAAGGAAATCTGTGCTGCATACAGTTCTTGGATATCTAAGCAGTCATGTCCCACACCACAGGAGCATATGACCCTTTATAACTTCATAAAATGGAATTCTATAGAATGGAAGATTAGGAAGAGAAACAAAAATAGAGCAAAGTTTTTAAAGTAGTCTGAATCTGCTCAAGGAAATATTTTATGCTTGAAGCAAAATCTCTTGGGACCATTGAAAACCACATTCGGAAATTAATCATGTTGCATTATTTCCCAGCCAAATTACATTTCATATTTTTAAACATGTTTAAGCTTCCATTTACATTTTTCATAAGATATTATATAGTTGTTGCAAATTTTAATCAATACAGAAATGTGAAAAAGAAGTTGATGTTCTTGCCCACCCACCCTCAAATCACATACTTGCAAGATAACCAGTTTATACTATTGTCACACCACATTACATCAGTTGAAATTTTAGTTCCTGAGCCAACCACTATAACAGGAATCCTTTCTGTGAAGGAGTGGGGACCCTCCAGCAGCCCTGGCCTTTGAAACACTGTCTCTCCCGCCCCCTTCTGGACAATGCTTTGATGGCCACAGGATGAGGCTGCTCTTGCTAGTTTATTTCAGCAGAGAAACAGGCTCTGCCTGCCTCAAGGCTTTCATTCTTTCAGCAATATTTATTGATCCCACTTCTGGATTCCAGGCACTGTCCTAAGAGCTGGAAAAACAAAGATAGATATGATAGATGAGGTTTCTACTGTTATGAAATGTACAGGCAAGTAAACAAGTAAAAGAATAAAGTGTAACATATGCTATGAACAAACCCAAGAGCATACTGGCAAGGAGAACTACGAAATACAGCTGCAAGAAATCATAGATGACACAAACAAATGGAAAAACATTCCAGGCGCATAGATTGATTGGAAGAATCAATATCATTAATATGGCCATACTGTGCAAAGTGATCTACAGGTTCAATGCTATTCCTGTCAAACTACCAACATCATTTTTCACAGAAATAGAAAAAACTACTCTAAAATTCTAATGGAACTAAAAAAGAGCCCAAATAGCCAAACCAATTAATTCTAAGCAAAAAGAACAAAGCCAGAGGTATCACTACCCAGCTTTAAAAATACTACAATGCTACAGTAAGCAAAGCAGCATGGTACTGTTACAAAAACAGACACACAGACCAAGGGAACAGAATAGAGAACCCAGAAATAAAGCCACACAACACACCTACAGCCATCTGATCTTCAAAAACGTCGACAAAAACAGGCAATGGGGAAAGGACTCCCTATTCAACAAATTGTGCTGGGATAACTGGCGAGCCATGTGCAGAAGAATGAGAGGGTACTTGTGCAGGTTTGTTACATGGGTATATTGTGTGATGTTGAGGTTTAGGGTACAAATAATCCCATCACCCAGATAGTGAGCATATTACCCAATAGGTAGTTTTTCAGCCCATGTCTCCTTTCCCCTCCCCTTTCTAGTCGTCCCCAGTATCTACTGTTCCCATTTTTGTGTGCATGTGTACCCAATGTTTAGCTCCCACTTTTAAGTGAGAGCATGTGGTATTTGGTTTTCTGTTCCTCACCTACCTTTCACCATATACTGGTTTCCTTTCTTTTGGGTACATGCCCAGCAGTGGGATTGCTGGATCATATGGTAACTGTATTTTTAGTTTTTGAGGAACCTCCAAACTGTTCTTTATAGTGGTTGTACTAATTTACATTCCCACCAACAGCATATGAGAGTTCTTTTTTCTCCACATCCTTGCCAGCATTTGTAATTGCCTGTCTTTTGCATATAAGTCATTGTAACTGGGGCGACATGATATCTTATTTTAGTTTTGATTTGCATTTCTCTGATGATCAATGATGTTGAGCAAGTTTTATATGCCTGTTTACCATTTCTATGTCTTCTTTTGAGAAATGTCTGTTCAAATCTTTTGCCCATTTATTGAAAGGATTATTAGGAATTTTCCTGTATAATTGTTTGAGCTCTTTATATATTCTGGTTATTAATCCTTTGTCAGAGGGTTAGTTTACAAATATTTTCTCCCATTCTGTAGTTGTCTTTTCACTTTGGTGAGTGTTTCCTTTACTGTGCAGAAGATTTTTACTTGATGTGATGCCATTTGTTTATTTTTGCTTTTTTTGCCTGTGCTTGTGGCGATTGCTCAATAAATTTTTGCCCAGACCAGTGTCATGTAGACTTTCCCCAATATTTTCTTGCAGTAGTTTCATAGGTTGAGGTATTAGATTTAAGTCTTTAATCCATTTTGATTTGATTTTTGTATGTGGGGAGAGACTGGGGTGATTCTTCTGCATATGGATATCCAGTTTTCCGAGAACCATTTATTGAAGAGATTGCCTTTTCCCCAGTGTATGCTCTTGACAACTTTGTCAAAAATAAGTTCACTGTAGGTGCATGGATTTGTTTCTGGGCTCTCTATTCTGTTTCACTGATCTATGTGTCTATTTTTATGCCAGTACCATGCTGCTTTGGTGACTATAGCTCTGTAGTATAATTTGAAGTCAGGTAATATAATTTCTCCAGTTTTGTACTTTTCACTCAGGATAGCTTTGGCTACCCTTGGTCTTTTGTGGTCCCATATAAATTTTAGGATTGTTTTCTCTGTTTCTCTGAAGAATGTCATTCATATTTTGATAGGGATTTAATTGAATCTGTAGATTCAGCGAATTTGTAGATTGCTTTGGGTAATACAGACATTTTAACAATATTGATTCTTACAGTCCATCAACATGGAATAACTTACCATTTTTTTGGTATCCTCTTCAATTTATTTCAACAGTGTTTTATAGTTTTTATTACAGATATATTTCACTTCTTTGGTTAAGTCCCAGGTATTTAATTTTATTTGTGGCTATTGTAAGTGGGATTACGTTCTTTATTTCTTTTTTAAATTGTTCACTTTTGGCATATAGAAATGCTACTGACTTTTGTATATTCTTTTTTTATCCTGCGACTTTATTGAATTTGACAGTTCTAATAGTTCTTTGGTGGAGTCTTTAAGATTTTCTAAATGTAAGATCATCTCATCTACAAACAAGAATAATTTGACTTATTTCTTTCTAATTTGAATGTCCTTTATTTCTTTCTCTTCTCTGATTGTGCTAGCTAGGACTTTCACTACTACGTTGGATAACAGTGGTGAAAGTGGGCATCCTTCTCATGTTCCACTTCTTAGAGAAAAGGCTTTCAGTTCTTCCCCATTCACTATAATACTAGCTGTGGGTCTGTCTACAGCTTTTATTATGTCGAGGTATGTTCATTCTATAAACAGTTTTTTGAAGGTTTTTATTATAAAGGAATATAGAATTTTATCAAATGCATTTTCAGCATCAATTGAAGTGACTGTGTGATTTTTGTCCTTCATTCTGCTGATATGCTGTACCACACTGGTTGATTTCCATATGTTGAACTATCCTTGCATCCCAGGAATAAATTCCACTTGGTCATAATCAATGCTGTTTTTAATGTGTTGTTTAATTCGTTTTTTCCAGTATTTTGTTGAAAACTTTTGCATCAATATTCATCGGAGTTTTGTTTTTTTGTTTTTTTTTTTTTTTCCTTTGATATGTCTTTGTCTGGTTTTGCTATCAGGGTAATTAGTAGCTTCCTAGAATGAGTTTGGAAGTATTCTGTCCTCCTCTATTTTTGGGAATCGTTTGAGTAGGATTGGTATTAGTTCTTCTTTAAATGTTTGGTAGAATTCAGCAGTGAAGCCAATCAGGCCCTGGGCTTTTCTTTCCCGGGAGATGTATTTTTTTTTTAATTGCTTTGATCTTTTTATTTGTTATTGGTCTGTTCAGGTTTTGGATTTCTTCATGGTTCAATCTTGGTAGATTGTATGTGCCTAGGAATTTATCCATTTCCTGTAGATTTTCCCATTTGTGGGCATACAGTTACCCATAGTAGCCACTAATGATCGTTGAAATTTGTGCAGTATCAATTGTAATGTGTCCTTTTTATCTCTGATTTTGATTATTTAAGTCTTCTCCCTTTTTTTTCTTTGTTAGTCTGGTTAAAGATTTGTCAATTTTATCTTTCCCCAAAACCAACTGTTTGTTTCATTGACCTTTTGTATTGTTTTCTTTATTTCAAATTTATTTATTCCTGCTCTGATCTTTATAATTTATTCTACTAATTTGGGGTTTGGTTTCCTGTTGCTTTTCTAGTTCTTTAAGATGCATTTTTAGGTTGTTTATTTGAAGTTTTCCTTCTTTTTTGACATAGGCACTTACAGCTAGATATTTCCCTCTTAATACTGCTTTCACTGTATC